AAAAACAACAACAACATGAAAATTTTGAGTGATAATTTGAGTTGAGCATTATTTTCGTTGCACAACTTTCCAGTAAACTGTTTCTACTATGGCTGATAATTTCTGAGTTTCAAAAAAGTGCGCGAATACTGTAATTAGCAGATATGAAAAATCAGAAAATTCAAAGAAAAAGACTGCACTTTCGAAATACGTAACATAAATAAAGTCGCACTATAAACCAGGGAAACAATGGAAGCAGGCGCACCTGCACTGATGCAAACTGGATAATTGACATGACGGTTATACCATAAAAGGAACAGATTAGCGATGTCTCCAAGTTGTAGAATGAGAGATGAGTAGATAAGCATAGGTTTTTAGGTACATAACTGATTAGCAAAAAAAAAGAGACGATGAATTGATGCTATAATTACCAAATATTTGCTACTCTGTTCTAAATCAAAGCCATGCTCCGATTGAAGCCATGATTGCTCGTGCTCATACTAAAGGAAAGCAGAAAAATGGTTTTCTAATGCATCAACCCAAGATTGTGTGCAAAATTTTCTTCTAAGCCACTGACTGTCAAAGGGGATCTCTACCTGGAGAGTAAGTACTGCATTCGTTCAAGAAGTTCGCTTTGCGCATCCTCATCGGTGTAACGCAGTAAAGACGACAGCAGTGTGACACCTTTCGAATCCGTTCCGTTTATATCGACATATTCAGACTTCTCGTCCAGCAGCCATTGCACAATTCCATAATGTCCTATACCGATGTAATTTTATTTGAAACGATCACGCTTTTCTAGCTCATCACCTTTGAGGTATGCGATGGAAAGCGGTGTCAGCTTCCGATCATTCTCTTGTTTGAGGCAGCTTGGATCAACATCCGCCAAAAGTTTCAAACATTCCAACCATCCATAAGCAGCAGCATAGTGCGCTGGCGTATTGTTGGATGAATCACCCTTGAACAGCAAGTAATTCAAAATTCGGCTTAGTCATTCAAACACCTTGAGAAAGTCAGCTCCTTTTGCCAGTAGCATAGCTGCGCAATGTTCTTGTCCGTTGATTATAGCATGCGAGAGAGCTGTCCGTTCTCTGTAATCCTTCGCCATGATGAGAGCACCATGAGCGATTAAGATTTCAGCAATTTCAAGATTCCCAAGAGAGCATGCGATCTGAAATCGTTTACTTTGAAAAAGCGGTTATCTGTTTATTTGAGGTTCCGCAGTACAAATGCGACCAAATACGGTACTGAACAAAAATATCGCCAGATATTTTTTCATTTGTATGAAAAAATATCTG